TATTTTTTGATACTGAGACTGGACGAGTAGATCTCGGCAAACTGTCTACTTCAAAAGTAGATCATAGTTCAAAAAAGGTTGGGCACCCCTGATGTAAAGAGTTGAAATAGTCGTCTAGTGGTAATGAAGGCATGAATAAGAGGTTCAAGTTTTATGGGAAATATCAGATTTTGCTTTAGCAATTAGACATTGCTGATAAAAACAGGTTTTAACAACTGAAGATATGTTTCTGAATTTTAAAAACACTTCCTAAAAACAGCCCAAGATTCTTGACCACAGAGGAACAATAAGGAGCAGGTGGACCAAGAATCCCAGGAAAACTATCAAGAAGAGATGGCCATGTGATGTGAGTATCAGTCACCTGTGAACGATGGTCATGTGATGTGAGTATCAGTCACCTGTGAACGATGGTCATGTGATGTGAGTATCAGTCACCTGGAGGCAGGACATAAAAGCCTGAATTTTGCCTGAAACTCTCAGAATGAAGAAGTCTCTTGGAAGAGAGACGAAACGTTTCATTAAAGAAGAACCCGTCCAGAGGACCTATACAATTTTTTTCCTTTGATTTTTTACCTGGATTACTGAGATGCATCAGGACAAGAAGAGAAGGATTACCAAATAAAATAACTTCAGTATTGTCTTCATTCTATCATAATTTACCAGGATGTAAATGTTGGAGCACCCAGATACAAGCAAAGATTGATAAAGACTCAGAACAACAGGCAAAAGTTTAAATGATTTATTTATTTACTTAGTTACTCAAGGAGGTTTTAGCAAGGGAAAAATAACAAAAGCTGTCTCAACAGTACCCAAGGTAACTGAACGATTCAGTGAGGAACAGATCTCTCTCTGAAGCTTAAATACTCCAAGGCTCATCATCAGGAAAATGTGAGGGAAGTCTGCTCCACCCATACCAATCAGCAACTGCCAAGTGAGATCACAAACACACAAAGCATACTTCTCCACACATTCAAGGTCAGAAAATTCTGAAATAACCAGTCTTTGATGCCCTGGAGACATTCAAAAGGGGCTGCAGAGTGGCAGAGATATCGGAATCAAAAGGTTAATAAAATTGAATGTCATCAGCGTAGCAATGGGAAGATAGTATGTGCTTTTTAAATAATGGGCCTCATGCAAGAACATGTTCGTATTCTTATCCTAAATTTCTCTTTTGTTTGTACGAAGGGTAGTCAGATTCAACAAACTCTTCTATCTTCAGGAAAAGTGTGTAAATGAGCTGCGTAAATTCCACCTGTTCTATCCAGATGCTCGTGCACGCGAGAGGAGATTGGCATAATTACCACCCCAAAAGCACCATATAAGTATATGTTTCCTGCCTCAGATACCAGGAAGTGTCCATTGATGAAAATGACAGAGAAAACTAAAAAAGAAAAACTTTACGAAACTTTACTACTTCAATCTCTGGATTGAAGTCCTTCTGTCAGAGTTCCAGAAAAGAAAATCTGTCATTTTTAGCAGCGTCAGCCGTGGAATAAAAGGAGCTGCTAAAAGTTTAAACAACTGTGTTAAATCATTTTCATTTACTCAGAAGCCACACCGTCGCGCACCGAACCCC